GCCTTATAGGATGGATACATTTTATATTTGGTTAATGTAATAAATACTGAATTATTGCAGCCTAATTATTTATAAAGTTCAGCGACATCCTCTGTCTGTCCACAGAGAGCTTATAGCAAGGGATAGAAAACATCCCGTCACACTAATCTAGTCATAACGCTCTAGTACATTCATTTTTGGTATGTAATAGTTAGTATTTTACAGAATGAATAAACATAGCTTGTGCAGTGCGTTTTATTTCTATTTTATTACACTGGAAGTCATCATGGCTAGCACCTGTATATTGTGTGTGTGTGTGTGTGTGTGTGCGCACCCCCCCCCCCCCCCCCCCCACACACACACACTAATAAACTTAATAAATTCTGATTTTAGATTCCACAATTTCTCCTTTTTTATCTTAACCCTCACACATTCATCTCTTGATTCAGAATTCTGTACATGCGCCTTTATTTCAAATTTTATGTCTAAAACTGGTTGAAATGGTTTTAGACATAAGATGGACAAAGCTGAACACTGCCTGTTGGTAAGGAGTAATGTCGATATTTCTTTTCTAAATGTGTATTTTGTAGGCATTTTGTTTTCCCTCTCATTTTTTTTCTCCTGCTTTAAAATAAATAGCGTCAGATCATTTGGAGCACGTTTCAGTAAAAATAAACCTTTTTTTATTCTATGGACTTTAAGGCTTTGATCATAAACTGCAGGTCGAAAGGAGTTCAGAGGCTTCAATTATTGCTTCACCTTTTATTTTGAAGAGGAAACAGAGCGGAAGTAGCGTTACTATCCCTTTTGACTATTAAATAAGAAACATAACAGGATTAGAAGAGGATTAATTTATTTAATAGGGTGGATGAAATTGATTAGAAACTCGGATCACGGAGTAGCTGTTTGAATATTACTGAGCTGCTTTTTTCCTTCATTGTCTTCCTCCCAAATGAAATGTTCCATTATTATTATTATTATTATAAATTCTTCCAGAGGTCGAGAAAAGGTTATTGCCTGAACAGTTACAGCTTTTAACATGTCACCAGTTGAATACTACAGGTTGGACGTTTACAGCTAGTTTCCCAGACATGGATTAAGTTGTCTCAGACTAAAAGGAAATTTCAGTGACGATGTCCTCTGAAAAAAAGGTTCTGTGTCTAAGACTTAACTCATGTCAGGGAAACTACACGTTAATGTAGTAAAATGCTGTGGGGCAAGCATCTGAATGAGATTTTGCCTGTGAAGAAAGCTGACGTCAGAATCTGAGATTTGGACTCAGGTCCACAGTAATAAATATCACACCATAGAATTACTGCTCGAGTGCAAATAGCTCATGAAAGACAACACCTCCGCCCAGTGGACATAATGAGTAATTACACATGAAGAAGCAGCCCTGTTTTTTGATTTTTTTTTTGTTTATGAGGAATTTAAATCAGCTCGTGTCTTGAAGTTACCTAATTCAAAAATGTTACTTTAACTTATCGAGACCACCTTGATTAATAAAACTTATTTTTTAAATTTATCTATGTTAGTATAAAACAGAATATTCATGTCAGGCCGCAGTAGGCTTACGTGCTTTACCGTCTATATTTTTTCTTCATAACATAATAAATGCAAGTGCACATCACTTTTCTACATCAATTGTTTGCATGCAGCTCAGCTGGTGAGGCCCTGGACTCTGTTAATGGATCATTATGAATCTATTTTTACCATACTGAAGAAATGTGGTGGGGAGCATGCAGCACTTAGACAGTTGTAATGGTTTTAACGTTTCTACGTGAAATCCTATCATCCTAATACATCCGAATTTCTGCAGCACTTTAAATATTATTCTTTTGGAGGCTAATTACATGTAAATGCAGATGGAAGAGTTTCGTTTGTGATAGTTTTATTAAAAGTGCACATTAAATCAGAACTTTGGAGGCATTTACTTAAAAATGTTTTCAGGTTATTAGTATTATTATTATCTTTTTTTATATATGTTATCTACATTCAGTGCTATTTTCGGCTACAATAATTCTAATGCATTTGTCCGTGTGCTCTGAGTGAAGTTTTGAGATTTAAATGGTTATAATACTTTTTATTCTTGTCCATCAGCTATTAAAATGGATGCATATATTCGTTCTTTTGTCACTCGTCTGTGCTCCAATACAGGACCAAATTATTTTAATACTAGTCCATAGAAACCAATACCTGTGCCCAGTCAGCACAAAAGGCCTGAATGGTGTTTGCAACTCAAACGGCCATTTCTTAACTTTAAAAATAAGAAGAAGGTTCTGCTCTAGCTGAAAAAAATCAAACTACTGCTGATGTTAAAGCTTCCTGTTTTTACCAGTACCGCTACACCGAGGTTGTAGATAACCTAGCCTAAATTGAACGATTACTTCTGAAACAGGAAAAAATACACCTCATCAAGACTCACATGCTTTTTGGCAAATCCGTTTTAATTCCCTCCATAATGAAATTTCCCGTGTTTTGTGCTCTCGCTGTCTGTAAAAGACGTGACTGGAGCTGTCTAGTCTCATCTGCAGACAATGACTTTAACATTTAGAAGGACAGTTGAGGCTCTAAGGCAGGAAAGGGTGTCCAATAAAACCATATAGTCACGATGACTGTCTGGGCGAAATTACTTTATGGCACCTCTCTCTGCGTGTCTCTCTGTCTTGAGTTGGGGCGGAAAGTCACGTTTATTCTCCAAATGCATGCTGTTGGTTTATGACCCTGCAGTAGGATGAGCCCTGAGAAGATTATATAGCCGCAATAAATGAAGGAAGCTACGAGGCGCTGCACTGACTTTGACAAAACAAGGAGGCAGAAATGTCTCTCCGTGGGCTGAAACTCCGAACACATACCTGAGAGCAGTGAAACACCTTGACGGTGGAATATAATCATAATGACAAACATAATAAATCGAGTTATTGGCCTATAATCCTGTTTAATGTCAACCATGAATTACTGCCTTTGTTTCCCCCCCTGTAGAATCAGCCGCAGGATAATAATATAGGATACTGCTGTATGTAAGCCTTTTTATTGGGTTGTATTGCGCTATTTAATAAACGACAGCGCAATTTTAACCTTTATGAGTTTTAGGCTACATTGATCAGGGGCTACAAAATATTTTTGCAGTAGTTCTATAGCAGGATATTTTTTATGTCTACAATGTTGCCATGTGATGCTATAAATATTATTAATATGCCTTTATTATCAAGTTAAAAACAAACAAAAAGAAAAAAAAACTGATTTGTGCAGACTAATCCGTGCGTAAAATTACCAAGTCGCCAAAAAGAAGGCGCAAATGAACACCGACGCTGTAATCCATCTTTTATTTTATTTAGAAAAATCACCATGAGCAGCATATTGAACTTATAACCTAAATGACAGGATGAAGGCCTTATTTTATCACACTTCGTCTCACAGCACAGCACAGGCCTGTCGCTGTAGGCTAACATAGCCTGTTGTTCTTCCTCTTCTCTCAAGGAGAATGTGGACAAAAACGAAAAGCACCAAAATACCTTTAAAATCCTCACAATGTTCCCGTTGCTGCGGATGTTATACCAACTTACATTGGAAAATGGAAATCGATTGTGCGTTGTTGTAAAACGTCTTAAGAGGACAGTAGCTGGTTACTGGGAGGAAACAGCGAAACAGAAAATCTAACAATCAAACTGCAGTCACACCATAGCTTAGCCATGACTGGTGTGTGTGTGTGTGTGTGTGTGTGTGTGTGTGTGTGTGTGTGTGTGTGTGTGTGTGTGTGTGTGTGTGTGTGTAGGCATGACCATATCTGCATTTCAAACCCACAGTAACAACAAATATACACAGCAACAATGACAACAACAGCAAGGACAACAATACCAACAAATATGCCCCTATAAGGCTACATGCAGAGTTTATAAAAACAAAACAAAGAAGCTTTATTCTGTCTTCTGGAGCAAATTCCTTAAAAGCTCCTTTCTGATTAATAAGGGAGACCAGGATTGGTTGTAACACAGAGAACTTCTCCACTAGGAGCAAAGTGAAACAAGTTTCTGTACAGACCTGTCAGGCACCTGAAATACAGCAAGAAGAAGAAGTGGTGTTTTGCTTCCTTTTTTATGTTGCTTATTGTAAATATATAAAATCTCGTAAATTTAGCAAATGCACTGTGGTTACAAGTGCATGACATGTAAAAGGTTGTGATTATACAAAACCTACATCAGTATTTTTAACTATTATGACCCACGCATTTGTGCAGAAACTTCAATGGAGGACCAGGAAAAGACAAGAGCGCCTTTTAAACCCAAACAAGAGGTGGTCCTATTTAAAATGCAGTAGACTCATTTTATTTACAGCCAATAAACCAAAGCCTCAAGTCACAGATAATGTGTTAGACAGAAAATATTCATCTTTAGTCGCTTATTAGCCAGTTAGACAAAGTACAGCTGACCCTGGTCTGAAAAAGCCACTGAAGTGGGACAGAAGTGAAAGTATCACATTTAAAACACATTATTACTTTAGCATGATCAATTCACCTTTTAAGTACTTGCGATTTTTAGATTTTTCACATGTGTAATCTTGGTGTTCTCGAAGATACATTTGGTTTTGGTTTGTTTTCTAAGGGTAATCGCATTGTTAAAAGAGCATAAAGAGAATAACTCCAGCCTTAGCGAATGTGTCTTTTATCTTTTGGTAGTGCCAACCCAACAGTATTAACATCTTTCACGTAAATATGTTAATACTTACATGCATCAGATACAGTCCACTAGCCTGAATCCTGTTTGCTCCCAAAAATATTTCATTTTAATCCCATACAAATATTCTGCAGCTATTTTTCAGGCTATAACAAGCAGGTATTCAGCCATGAGATTACTCATGCGGTTTATCTTTGATAGTTTTCCCTTGTACTTCAGTCCGAGCTTGCACGTTAAACATAGTTTTCATGAGGGCGATAGTTTTAGCCTTAAATCATAAAACACCATTCCCATTTTTTTTGTTGAGAGCACAGACAGTTTAAGTATTACGTCTGGAATGTTTCAAGCATTGCCATTTCTGAACATGAGAGATGTGCATCCATATTAAAAACAGATGTGTTTTAAAATGAGTAGTCTTTGATATGAGCTGGTATGTTTGTGATCGGGTTTATTGACCTCCCTGTAAATGTTAACACTTCATTATTTACAACTACCCCGGGTTTCAGATGAGCTGTTTTCTTTTTAAAACATGCAGATGGAAGAATTATGCGCCAAAGTACAGATTACCTAACTTTTTTTAAGACATTAATGTGTGTGTTACAGCACATCCCGGTCTCCCCTGCAGAGTTTATCACTGCAGTTTTCAAAAGCAGCAATGTTAGCTCTACAATCCTTTGCTTAGTCACAGCTGATCTTGCCAGTTCATGTTACAGATGTTGGCCATCTCTGAGCACTGTGTTTCTTTTATCACCACCACCTCTTCACCTATCACAGGAAGAAAACAAAAGCCCCAGCCTCTAAATTCATCATTCATTCATACTCCTCCTCTCCCGAATCATCAACTTCTTCATCTTCATCCGTCTGTTTTGGAACCAGATTTTGACCTGTCTCTCTGTCAGATTTAAGAGTCCTGCCACCTCCAGGCGCCGATCTCTGGTCAGATACATGTTGTAGAGGAATTCCTTCTCCAGCTCCAGGGTCTGGTGTTTGGTGTAAGGACATCTCTTTTTCCGGGTCGATTTGGCATGGATCCAGCTAGCTGATGGATTTTCTGCAGGAAAAGAGACGAGAGTTGCATAGGTTTTTACTCACACCAAACACCATGTATATTTACTTTCCTCTGGTTTTAAGCATGTCTTTCTGTGTGTGTTGTGAGGAGTTCAAAGGCTGGCATAAGATTCAAAGAAAACATTTTGTGGAGCAAATTTTATGAGCCCACAGTTTTTGGCTCATTAGAAAAAGAAACACATCTACACCTTTTTTCACATACTCCTCCTGTAATTTATGACAAACCCGTAATTTAACATAATGTGACATAATTGAAAATGTGGCCACATTTGAGGTTTCTGTCCTTTTCGATTTGGAAGGACAGTGAGCTGCTATAAATACAGGAAAGTATACCCAATAAAGATGAGCCTAAATCTCAGTACGAGAGGAGACAGGGCTGAAAAACAACCACAGCCACACTCATGCTCATTTTTTCTGTTTTTTAATCAGCTGAGTAAGGATATTTTTTAAACATTTAATAGTTTGATAGTCATGCTCTCACAATGCTATTTTGCATTAAAAAAAATTAAAGCACTTAGGATTCTTACATCATTAAATTAACTCTCATTTTACAAAAAGTAGATATTTTAATGAAACCCAGATAATTGTTTTGTTTATCCCAAGATAAAATATATTAATGTATCTCTACTACTACTACTACTACTACTACTACTACTACTACTACTAATAATAATAATAATAATAATAATAATAAAGCTATGAGTCTGCACTCTGGAGTAAGGGTCCAATAATGTGTTTTAAATGGCATGGCATGCTTTTAGAGCATAGCATGACTATACTGACTATTTTAGGCAAAACTAGCTTGGAGTAGTATTTGCAAAAACGGGCTCGCTAACTCTCCTACTATCAGAAAAACCTTCATGTGCAAGTCAACCTGGGTTTTCATATAGCTATTGACAAATTGTTAAATAACAATATCACCTTAATTATTTTAATGGACAATAAGGTTTTATATTTTACAGTTTACAAGACATTTATAGGCCCATAAAAGTCACACTCCCCTCTCTAACACACACACACACACACACACACACACACACACACACACACACACACACACACACACACACACACACACCTGTGTATCGCCACTTCTTAAAGCTAATAAACATTCCTGAGTTTAGTGTATCTGTGTTTACCCGGGTCAAGCTGCTGCTGCTGCTGCTGTGTTTTTCTGTCGTCGTCCTCTTTCTTTGGCTCAGGCTTCCTCCCCAGCTCCTCTACAGTCCCAAGCCGCTCCAGGACCACCTCCGCCGGACTGGCGAAGCTGGAATCTTCAGGACTGTCGTGTGACGGGGGTGAACTCTCGGGCTTAATTGTCTCATACCTCGGGCTCGGATTGGAGAGGTCACTCTGTGCTGGGAGACACGCGGGGAAAGTGGCCGAAACTTGCGACAGAGCGGTCTCCGAGGTGGGGCTCGCCCCTTCCCAGCAGCGTACAAACCTGCTGTCCGACGCGGATGCAAGGTGTTCGGCGTGTGTCTGAGTCTGCGGGCCGTAGTAGGGGTGGTGGCTCAGGAGGTGATGTGGATGAAAAAGGCCGGGGATGGACGCACCGGGGGCGGATTGCCGCTGCGGAGAAGAAGACGTAGAAGAAGTGGAAGTGTTTGTCCAAGGAGAAAAGCCATTTAAACTCGACTGTTTGTTGGAAAAATGAGAGAAATCCGGGATGTGTGAGCCGGGGGTCCCCTCCTCCTCCTCTGCTCCCCGGCCTGGCTTTGCGCAGCCAGCCGTCGAACCCTGCAAGCCTCCCGGGATGAAATGTGCACCGTAAGGCTCCTCGGTCTGGAGACCCATCATGGAATAATAATTCGTTAGCGACATGTTTATTTTATTATTTCAATAAAAAGACACTTAAATGCGACTGTAAAACGTTAGATGGGCTGGTATAGTGGCTTACATCCTCCCCTAAAATGGTAGTAATTTTTTCCTGCCCTTACTTTCTCCTCGGCTGCCCATTGGTTACTCTGCGGATCACATGGTTAGACTGTATTTAGCCAGTATAGAAGATAAATCAATTCATTCTTTTGTTTTCAGAAATGTGATAGCACGCCTACTGCGGACGGACCTGAATGTAACATATATATATATATATATTAAAAAAACAAAAAAACAAAAAAACTTGGACTCTTTTTAGAGGCTGAATAAAAAGTAGCATTGGGCCGTTCGTATGCCCGTTTGAAGAGAGCGTAGGTGCTTCTGCCTTTTGCACTTATTTAATGCAAAAATATGACTTACACTTTATTAGTAATTATGTCATCACAGCCTCAGATTGTCACAGGACTGATTAGGGGGGATGGGCTTCGGCTTTCCTTTGTGTGAATCGTGACTCATTTCGAGCTTAGAGTGATTCTCCCTTGAAGTTCATGTTGAATTGCGTGCAGCTTTATTTTGCTGGAACTATTACCCAAGATCAGAAATAGATTTGTATCAGTTCACAAGTTCTGTGCTCAAATTAGTTACTTTTTTCTAATTTTAAAGTGTCGAGTGTTTTGTTGTTGCTGTGCTTTTGTTGTTCTCTTACTAAATAAACCAAATCTAAGAAGATCATTTGATTTATCCGTCATTTTAAGCAGTGGAAGGAAAACAGTGTCATAATCTATATATATAGCAGTGCTTGTGCATAAAAGTGAAATTCCAAGTGCTTTTCTTTGTGGCTCTTATATGCTAGGTTAGGCCAGGAACGGTAAACAGTAAGGATTCATTTTGGCCCACTGACTTTTGAGTTCGGAAAAAGTGTGAAAAGCGTGAAAACTGCAAGAACATTTTTAATATATTGCACTGCTATTTCCAGGGTAATACTGGTGGCGTTACACAGGAGTGAAAATAGATGGAAATTTAAAATTATCTCTAGATTTAGTCAAGTTGTTGGAATAATAAATAATAATAGTAAATAATACTGTTGGTTAAATACAAAAACTGTACACGTAAAGGTTTGTGTCTTTATAAATCCACAGTGATCAGCAAATGTTATTGTGCATCTAATGACTGCAGGCTCAAGGAATATAAGTAAAAGTTCCTATTGTCTGACAGATTTTGTGGGGGAGGGGTTGTGGTATCTTAATTGTTTCAGCTTTTCAAAAATCATAAGAGCCACGTGAATGTTTTCATCGTGATATTTTAGTTTTATTCATAAATTTTTAAATAAAAACTGTTTTGTAAAGGTTTTACTTTCTCGCCCTACTTCAGATCTAACTGCTCTTTATGTGGCCCATTCGCTAAAATGAGTTTGACACCCTTGGGCTACACCTTGATCGTGCACAGCTAGCGCCATCTTCTGGCTGAATGAGACAAATCTGATTGAAAGCACTGCAAGGACTCCAAACTTTGCAATTAAAGAAGGTCCAAAGGCTTTCAGTAAATTAATTAATTACTACAGCTAATAATATTCAGATAAAATGAGATTATATGCTTGGAATATAACGTCTTGAAAATAAATAGACACTTTGAGAGTCACTTCCAGCAGGATGAAGAGAGGTATGTGAGCAAAACAGTCCTCTATGTTATACAAAATATCCCAGCAATCATTTATAAATCACTGCAGAAGTGATTTTAAGATCTGAAAATCTTGTTTCTTAAGTGGTTTTATGAAAATACTGACATGGAGAAACACATGAATCAGAATTTATGATTTAATGACTTCAAACCTCATTCGGACCAGAGAGACTTCTCAATGAAATTCAGGGTATCTTACTCTAGATGGCAGTGTTTTAACGGCTCCTCTGCTAATGGGCGGGGGTGGGGTGGGGGGTCTGAGGATGCTGTAAAAGAATGGAGAGTGTTTGCTGTGTAAAAATTAAAAGTCACTCAAGCTGCTCTTTAAATTTATATGACAGATTGTAAGATATGATGGTACAATGTTGGCACCATTTCCCACGATGCATTTCCCTAAACTGATGCCAAGACGTTTTAGAGATGAGTATTAAGAAAAACAATTAGTGAAGTGTTGTTATTACTATCAGGCCATATTTTACATGATTACTGCCCTGGTTTGTCATTCATCATCTTTTTATTTACTTGTGTTCCCCGTATTGGTAACACTTTGCTTGTGCTTCTGCAAACAACTATATGTTGTGTCTTATAAACATTATAATGGACACTAAATGCAAAATACCTCATTCAAGTGTCCCTGTTAGTAGATTCGGAGTAATTGCTAATGTATTTCTACACAGACTCTTTTTATTATCATGGTTTTAATTCTTTGAATAAAACAGAATTGTACATTTTAGTCAGTGTTAGAATATTACTATATTAAAAATAATTTGACACGGGACAACTACAACTAAAAGATGAGCCTGGTACCAAAATGTATCTTCATATGATCTTTCATATGCTATAACTTGTTTCACCAGCCATATATCTCAAATGCATCTTTTCAAGTTTCCTCCATCAGATAAAACATCCTAGGCACCAATACCTATTTCTATATCTTGCTCATAGACATTAAATTTTTTATTTTTCCTGTTGGAGCTATGATATATTCCATGATAACGATGCTCAAAATTGCTTAAAAACATAAAAAATGAAATTTTGGCTTTTGATTCGGTCACTTGGTGAGTAGGTTAAACTGACTTGTTTAAAGGTAATATACTGTATGGGTTGATTAAATACGCACCAACTTCATTCCACATTGTAAAAAAATTGAAATGTTGATTTTGAAGGTTTCCAGTTGGAACTTTTTTCAGAATTGTTTGATTATTTCTTTAATGAAATGACTGACTATTAAAGCCCCTGCAAGTCTACTTCTACACTCCTTTAATTTTCAATATTATGTAACTAAAAGTTTGCAACAACTACTAGTACGACAGCATCAAGTTCTTGCAAAGGTAAAACACCCCAAAAATAGTTTTATTGGGGGTAGCTAGCTTTGATGTCTTTATTTCCAGCCAGAAACACAATCTCTCCTTTGTCTTTCTTTAGACATCACTCACAAATACACACCCGTTTGCAGTCCCACTCACACACAGATGAGGTGAATGTTTGAGACAAACAAAGCGAGAGGCAGCAGACTGTCTGTATTGCCCCAATAAAAGTCACGAGTTGAGGAAATGGTGGTTTGTGGCCATGTGGTTTGTTGGGATTTGTTTGCGGTTCAAGGTTCATTAGCAGCCTTGGACTCACTGGGTGTTTCTGCTGTCTGGTCCCATGTTGTTCAGACTCAGCACACCAAGGTGTAAAAGAACAAAGAACAGAAGTCTGAGAAGTTCTTCTTTCCAGATTTTCTTTAATGCAGTACTTCTTCTCTTTGCTGTCGAATGTTAAATAGTATAGTATATAGTATAGTATTTTAGATTGCCTTACATTTCAGTTACAACAGGCGTTTTTAAAATTCAATTAAATCCATTGTCCAGTATGGTTGTCGAGCTCCTTTTTCTGAGTACCCAGGGTTTTTTCAGAGCTTGGTAGAACATCATCCTCTTCTATTACTCCTTAGCCATAGAATAACCTTCAGGAAATACTAACACTAAATAATTTTGGTTTCTCTGGAGTTCAAATCTCAAACTTCTGTGACTGAACAATGACATTTGCATTCCTAAGTTAGATGTTGTGTTACTTGCCTTGATGTTATTTATTTCTGTTCACTGCTTTTGTTATACACTGAGAAATTCAATTTTTAATGAAGTAATTTTCTGTAATATCTTTAACCAGTGATTCTTTTAATTTTAACATTTACAGAATATTTAAATATACTTAAAACTGTTTTACACATTTTGTAACCTTGTAATATTGTTCATCCTTGGCCAGGTCTCCCATAAACAACAGATGTTGGAAACTTTAAAGCTATAAAATTAAGTCATTAAACTGTCACAAATCAACATCTAGGTTGTCACAACTCCCACTAAACCCATTTCAAAAGAAACAAGTCTGTGTTACTATAAACAGTCCTGTCACAAGGGTATTTAATATTATTTCATTACTTTTTACATTTAAGAATATATATGCGACATTAAACGAGACAAAAAAGAGGAATTAGACATTAGACAATGTGTCAGTGGTAATGATAATCTTTTTAATGTTTGATCAACAACAGTTTCCTCATAGTCCTCATATTCATCATCCTTAAACGAGTACATAAAGGAAATCCAGGAATATAACTGCACTTCTGTTGATTTTGCTGATTAGAGGAGAAATAGCAAAGAGGCAAACATCAAACGTTATGCAAAGATGATTGTTTAGACTCATATTCATTTGGTTTTATATTCAGCTTCAGTATACTGAGGTACTGACTACTAAACTGAAGTTATTAGCATTAAGCAGGACATTTTTTATGAATGCATACACATTAACATCATGATAAACACCAACTTAAAGAAAATAACATCAAAATCCAATATACATATTTTTTAAAAGATATTAACAGAAAACTCAAAACATATATTTTGTTTTGTTTTGCTTGTTTCAAATGAAAATGGCCTGCATTTGTATAGCGCTTTTCTAGTCCATAGGACCCCAAAGCGCTTTACACTACATTCAGTCATTCACCCATTCACACACTGGTGATAGCAAGCTACATTGTAGCCACAGCTGCCCTGGGGCGCGCTGACAGAGGCGAGGCTGCCGGACACAGGTACCACCGGGCCCTCTGACCACCACCAGTAGGCAAACACGGGGTTAGTATCTTGCCCAAGGATATTTGGCATGCAGCCAGGATGCAGCCTGGGATCGAACCACCGACCTTCTGATTAGTGGCACCTGCTCTGCCACCTGAGCTACAGCCACCCCTATGGATAAAACTTCATGCTTGCTCACATGGCCTTGTGTTCAAAGGACATGGCCTGAGGCAGAGAGAGCATTAATGGCTTTGCAGTGAAACCACATGACTTGAAGCTGGAGTTAAGAGAAGCATTCCAAAAGGTTTTCTCAATGGCAAACATAATAAAATCTGTGTTGGTACAAGAGA